TATTATACAAAATTTATATATTTAGAAACTACACTAAAAGTACTATTAACCACAAAAATCAAATTTAGAAATAAATAACAAATACTAAATAAAATAAACAAAGAATAAAGAGTTGGTTTGACCAATGAATAATAAGTAGGACAGATAAAATGGGACAGATGGAGTATTTAATATTTGCAGCTTCTTTCTCTTTTGCTTTTTTCCATTCTTTTACATTTCATTTATACGTGTTTAGTGGAGTGGGATATATATATATATATATATATATATATATATATATATATATATATTTCCATTGGGTTTTTAAAAATTTTTTTATTGGCAACCATCCCATGTTCTCTTCATGTTATCTAAAACTAAAATACCTCCAAAAAGGTCATAGTCTTCAGCATTGTCATAAACCATCCACTTATAAAAACAATTGTCTCCCCATCTCCGAATTTGTGAACAACAAATTGAAGAAGGTAATTCCCATGGAATTGTATATGCACCTTGTTGGATAAGTCTAAGAATTTGTTTCCTACATTTATCACAAGGTGGTTGCTTGTTTGAACACATAGGTAAGTTTTGCACACTTTCAAGAACTCCAGGATCTTCTGCATCAATTATAGCGCTTAAGAAATTGACTTTTCCCATTGTCATTACCAAGCCTAATATAAAATAGATATTTAATATTTGCATTGCTTCTTTCTCTTTTGTTTTTGTTTTCTATTCATTTACTTTTCATGTATATGTGTTTAGTGCAGTGTGATATATTATAGAAATTTAATGTACAATTTAAAGTACAATTTAGTGTTACTAATAGAAATTCATGCATCATGCATATGAATAATTATGATACGTTATAACTATTATTATAAATAATATGAAAATTAATAAAATAAATTGAATACGTTATTGATTATTAGGATGAACAGTTATACGTAGGTTTTCTTTAATAAATTAATAACAGTTTAACATTGTAATATTGTGCCCATTGGTTTATTAGCTCATAACCGGTGAATTTACAGGATAGATAGTACCCATATATAGTAAATAAGGAGAATAAATTGCAGAGAATAATATGCGGGCAACAACAACCAAAAAGGAAAGAGTGACTTTTTCATTACCATTGTCAATATATATATTACATAGAATAGTGGTTATTACAAAACATCTCCATAAAGTCTCATAAATATAATAATAATGTTCACATAAATATAATAATAATGTCCATTAATATATTATTTTGTAACACTCCCTTTTAGACATTATTTAACATAATTATGCCTTGTTAAAAACTCGCTAAAAAAACTCTATGGAAAAAATCTAGTCGAAAAAATAGTACACGATATATAGGTAATGCATGTGTCGTTTCGGTTGCCTCATTAAAAACATTACACTAAGAAACCCAGTAGGGAAAACTCAGTTAAGGAAAAAATAGTACAACAGTAAACCTTTAGGGTTTAAATTTAGAATAAAAAATATTTCATCTTCGGAATCAATAATTTAATTGTACTACTTAGACGTTGTTGCTCCCCCTGAAGACAACAAATATCCCTAATCTAAGTATCCTAATTTTGTGGACATTTTTATCAAAAAGTAGATGTATGTAGGATGTAGTGAACAAATATGCTAGATTGTTACTGGAGCGAACCTTTTGAACATGTATTTCACCACTCCTCTAGAGTTCGTGTGGGTTGAAGAGTTTAGGTGCAATATGCTTTGTAAGGTTTCTTTTAACATACCCACTACTCATCTGTGCAACACATGCTGCGTTGTCCTCATACAAGACAGTGGATGTATTGCTGATACTCGTTATTCTATGAATATTATGTATTAATGACCTCAACTATACAGCTTCTTTTGAGGTCTCATATAACACAATGATTTCTGAATGATTAGATGAGGTAACTACTAGTGTTTGTTTAACGGGTTTCTATGAAATAGTAGTACCTCCACAAAGGAATACATATCCTGTCTAGGATTTAACGTTATGTGGATTAGACATATAACTAACATCCGGATATCTCACTAATGTGGTATCTTGGTTTCTATCAAATAGATGCCCGGGATCTGTAGTACCTTAGAGATATCTAAGGATATGTTTCACGCCATTCAAATGTATTCTGGTTGGAGTAGCACTAAATCAAGCCAGCATATTTAGTGTAAAGTTAATGTTAGGTCTAGTACAATTTGCAAGGTAAAGGAGCGCCCCAATGGTATTTAGGTAAGGGACTTCTGGTCCCAGAATATCCTCATCATTATCTTCCTTTGGTCTGTATATGGTTGACTTTACCACTAGTCCCTTTGACTCCTCAAAAGGTAGGTCCTTCATACTCACCTTTGCAACCTTTCGGTTACGAATGATTGACCTTACCATTTGTCATTGTAACACTTTGAAAGGTAGACCCTTCAACCACTTGGTCTTGATATATTTTACTCTTCGAATCTTCAGTCTTTTGATCTTCATCTCGGACCATTCATGAGTTAACCACACGGGTTAGCCCATTTTGATTGTGTTATTGAATCTTGGTATCTTGCAGAATGTGGTAACTAGCCCATTTCGATTGGGTTAAGGGTTAGTTGAATTAACATGCATTTCATCACTGTTTATACTAGACTCTGCTCTGAACACGCTTAGCCAGGGCCGGCCCTGGGCAAGTCTGCCCAGGGCCGCCGCACAGGGCCCCCAAATTTTGGGGGCCCCTTATTTAAAAAAAAAAAAAAAAAAATTATACTATGTATATATATCAAGCGAAATAGCGAATCACGGAAGCATGTGAAGCCGACAAAGTCAAAAACCTATTACCCTAAGCGACTAAGCCTTTATGTAGCGTATTGCGTACGAGTATTACGGCGGAGAGTGGCGGATACACGGAGTAGACGGACAGATCACAGAAGAGACGAGAGACAATTGTGTAATACTCTAATGTCTATGACTAGCACTCTAGCAGACTAGGTAATAGGTATGTGTTTATTACTTATTAGTTTTTTTTTTTTTTTTTGAAAACTTACTTATTAGTTATTACTTTTGCTGTTTTGCAGATTCAATATTATTACTTCTAGTTTCAGTAATTGAGTAGTGCTATTAGTTTGTTAATTGTTACTTGTTAGTTACTGATTAAATGATTATGCAAAAATCAAAATTAAAATTAAATTTGCCAATTTGAGAATTCTCAAATTCAGTGAATAAATTATCACATAATTTAGTTTTATTGTTTGTCCAGGCAGTACAACTTAATGAATTGACAAAATTGACGTAAAGACAACAGATTCAGCTCGTGTGCTTCTGATTATTCAATTCTTTTTTTATCATACAAACTCTAAAGTTCTTTAATTCTCTTGACATGTAATTTAAATTATGTATTGTTTTACAATTCTTCTTTATTGTGTTATTTACTTATTTACATGACTTAATAATTCTGATTTCAGAATAATATATTTAAGAATTTATTTCTTGATTAATTATTTATTTATTCATAGAGTTTCTAAATAAATTTTTATTTTTCCTTTGGATTTTATGTCTTCTAGAAAATATTCATCTGAGTTTGAGAAGCGTAAAAAGAAAAGAAGAATTGAGCAACTAACTCAATCTCAAAAGGGGGCTCTTGAAAAATTCATTACAAAAAAAAAACTCAAATAGATGAGCAAAAAGATGATGCCAATGAAAAATTATTAGATGCTAATCTTCATATAGAAGATCAAGATGATTGTAAGATTGAAAAAAATCTAAATGATAGTGTGTACAACAATGATAGGTATCACTGTGACAATGAAAATAATAAGAATACAATCTATAAGATGATTGTGGTTTTTTGTTTAGTTTCTATGGCAGATATGGATTTGAAGTCTTGTTGCATTTGAAATTTCCCGCCCCAGTGTTTGGCAGTTAATTTTTCTTTAAAAAACCCATGTTAAAAAATGTACATAATGTTATACATGAATGTACATAATTGTATAACAAATATACATATTGTTTTTTAAAAGATAATACACATAATCTAACATAATACATAATAAACATAAACTTTTAACCTAATACACATCAACTCTTAACATAATACACAAAAATTTCCTGATTCGGATGTACATAATTGTATAAAAAAAGTGTACATAATTGTATAAAACATATACATAATTGTATGAACAAATATACATAATCACAACAACTTCCTACCGCGCTTCCCAAAACGACCTCCATTTTGGGAGGCGCGCGGCGCACAGTGCTACGTGCGTCGTGGTGTAGAGTATAACGATTGCTATTATTTATATATAAAAATTACTTAAAAAGGGGGGCCCAAATTTAAATATTGCACAGGACCCTAATTTGTAATGGAACGGCCCTGCGCTTAGCTTCATGATCCAGGGTAATTATTTTCTACCCAAGATGTTGTTATCAAGACTCAAGAGTGATTGTTTGATCTGATAATTGGATTTTATTATCAGATGTATACAGAGAGAAGGAAAGAATGTATAAAAATGATATTTTTGCTAGGGCACTTTTTCTTTTGTAGTTTGCTACTAACATTCTTACTGTTGACAACCATTTTATCTTCTGAAATACAACAGTTTGCACCCTTGTTTTGTTAACAAATTTTAATAATACTAATTTCATTTTCACATGTTGAGTATCAATTCTTCAATGTTAATTTCATAAATAAATGGTGTTTGTAGAAAGATGGAACATGCAAACACTTGAAAATATTTATAAAATTTGTTAATGATTGTTGCGATGACCTGTTTAATCATGTTGCATTTGTGTGTTAATAAGGGCTTTAGTGGAAGTTGTAGCTGCCCGGGATTGAGCTAATTAAGAATCACAGAATAGACTAAGCAAAGAAAAGAAGAAATTAAAATGCTTGGAAGTTAGAAGTTATATATACTAATAAGGGCCAAATAGTCTAGTGTGAGCAAATGGAGAGGTAATCAACAATCCATTCTTGGAGTTTTTACCTCCATTAGGCAAAACAGGTAGGAGCTCTGTCCTAAACTATGAAGGCATTTAAGTTGAGGATTACCAATTCTGCACTTAATTTTGTAGTGCATGATTCAGGCAGAGCAGTTTTTGATCCCTGGTAAACAAAAAGATATTGGTCCTGTTTGGTAAAATGGCTGTTAGCTGATAGCTGTTAGATGTTAGCTGATTGTGTTAATTAGAGGGTATAAATAGTTGATAACATTAGCTGATTGTAGAAAAGTGTTTGGTAAATTAGCTGTTAGCTGATAGCTGTTTGATATAATTTATTTTCTCAAAAAGCTAATTGAAAAAGTTGTTTAGAGTAGCTTTTTGAATTTTAGCCTTTTGGAGTTGCAAAAAGCTAATTAACCAAACATTTATATTGATATTTTAACTAAATCAAACAATTAATAGTGGTCAAATAAGCCAAAATTGGCCTATAGGCCAATTTTTTACCAAACAGGGCCATTTAAATGCTTGGAAGTTGGAAGTTATATATAGTTTGATCAGAGACCATGCTGGCGCCTGGGTGATGGGTTTCGTGACTAAGATTGGGACCACGACAAGCTTCATAGCGGAATTATGGGGCCTCCGGGAAGGTTTTACCATTGCTAGAAACAAAGGGTTATTCAGGATTGTCGTTGAAAGTGACTCGGAAGCTATGATCAATGCTATTCAACGCGATGGTGACTCACGGCTTGAAGCGAGCATGCTCATCTCGGACTGTAGGGCCATTATGAAACAACTCCAAGTTCGAGAGTTCACGCATATTCTTCGCGAAGGGAACCAGTGTGCAGATTTTTTGGCCAACATGGGTCATAATGGCGCCTGGGGTACCTCGATCTTGGATAGTCTGCCGATCAACATTGCGCCCCTCTTGGACAAAGATGCTGGGAACGGAGCCGTTAGAAGAATCTATTAATCCCGGGACCGCTTAGGCCCCTCATTCTCACCCAAAAAAAAAAAAAAAAAAAAAAAAAAAAAAAAAAACTATCTAAGAAAATTACAAGAATGTAGTTAATATAGAAAGTTTGAATATTCTTTAATTTATTGTGGGATTGAGGATATGATTCAAGAGGAATACCTGTATTTTGGTCAAGCCTTCAAAGTAGGACGATAGAAACCGGTTTCCTTGGCTGTGGTTTTTACTGTTAAAAATTGCACATGTAAAGTTTAGTATATATCATCATAGTAAGACTTCCTTTAATTAATTAGTACAAGATTTCATATGTATATAAGAATAAAATTAACTTACGTCAAGAAAATATATCCACCATCAGACAAGTATTTTACTAAAGAAGTAGAGGGTAAGAGGCCTCTAAATCTGTCACAGTAAATAGCAGTAGCAACACCTCCAGCTTTGCTACCAGCTAATATGGCCTATATTTAATTAAAATTTCATAATTAAAAACATAATTGTTTAGAAACTGTAATCATGCACCTACAACTCACATAAACAAAAATGACATTATAAAATTGCAAATAAATTAAATTCCCATCAGTACACAATAACCTACTCAAAAAAACAGCATATATAAAGATTAATGACTTTTCAAAACAAGTAAAATATTACGATGTTAAATATTTTTGTGCTTTGTAAAATCAGAAATGCTCACATTTTTTGTATTTCCCATTCCATGGCATAGTAGCTTTTCAATTATAGCTTTGAAGATTCTGGCACCTCTAAAATAAAGTGGCTTGCCCTGAAAAAACAAAATTTTATGAAGTGTGTTAACTTTTTAAATCAAAAGTAGGAATTTAATATATTTATATGATTAATGTGCTGTACAAATGAATTAATGAAAATATTAAGAAGCAGGTTCGTATATTTTCAATAAGCATAATTGAGGAGGCTAAACAAGAAGTAAGGGTGTGTTTGTTTTGCACATGGGAATCGGAATCGGAATGGATATCAAATACTCCGTACTTGGTAATGGTGGGAACAGAATTATTAAGAAATTAAAATGGGCTTGTAGATGTTGCAGCTTATGCATTCTGCTGAGAAAGGGAACTTGTTGATTAAAGGACTCCTTCTGTTGAAATTCTGATTCTGGGGCAAATAATGATTTTGTTTTTGAGGTGCATGAATTTGGTGGGAATAATTGATTTGAATATAACTTTGGAATGAAAGTCTAAATAGATGGTTTGGTCCATGGAGGATGGTAGACCAATGGCTGATGATTTGGGCCATGGCTCTAGATGGACTGCAGGCCTCTGAAGTTTGATAAGTCATGAGGAAAATGATTGGAAGGTCTAATTCGGCTGGCTGGAATAATGGTGACAGCCGAGTGAATTAAGGAATAAGCGTCAAATACGCCATCGAACTACACATCAAATTACAATTAGGTCATTCAACTCAAAAAAGTTACAATTAGGTCCCTGAACAGTGCAAATTCAAGCAATTAAACCTAAAGTGACTTGTTGAAAGTGTGATTAGATGATGTGGCGGTTACCAAATTAATTTTTATTTTAAAATTTCTTTTAATAATTCTTAAACTAAAAAAAAAAAAAAAACCTGCCGCTGCCACGCACCTTCCCCTCCCTCGTCTCCGCCACAAGTGAATGTTCTCAAATCTCTGAGTTGCCCAGATGTGTGGAATAACATACATTTCATGTTATCTCTTCATGTACCATCCTTTAATTGAGCTCTTTTACTCCTATTAACGTTTTAGTAAAAGAAACAATCTTTACCAAAAACACAAATTCTAAGCAGAAACTATTACTTAAGCCTCAACTTCTGCCCATAAACCTTTCATCCACAAACCTCATTTTTTTCTTAAGAAAGTTCCACAAACATCATTAAACCAAACTATCCATCCTCCCAATACAAAATTCAACTGCACAAACAAGTTCTTCCCACCCAAAATTCTCAGAAAACAACCTAAATCCACAAAAATGAATTCAAAAATAAACACATAAGGAATAAAAAGGAAAATTGACAAAAAAACTTACTTGCAATTCTGCAAAGAAGAGAATCACTGTCCCCGTCAATGCCCAGATCAAATTATCAAAAATAAACTAGAAAATACTAAAATTACAAAGAAATAAATAAAAAATGAGCTTAATTTGAATTTTGAAAAAAAAATAATAATACAAGCACAAAGTAATAAGTTATATATTCAAATTTTCTTATCAACCCAAAGTAGGGATGGCAATGGAGCGGGAGATATATCCCCCGCCCCCGCACCCGCATTCCCAATCCATTCCCCGCACCCGCACCCGCACTCGCACCCGCGCGGGTAATGAAATTCCTACTCCATACCCGCTTCCGCGGGGATTTTGCGGGAGCGGGTAATACCTAACCCGTAATTCTAATTATTAATATTACACTTAAATCTAATAAAAATTTTATACTACAATTCTAATTATCACATACATTTTTTTATAAGTTTGAACATAAGTCTAAAATTTAATAAGAGCCAACGAAGTTAATCCTTAATTGGAACGAAAATTGTGTTGGTAGTATAAATTGTATTAAGTGTTTACTCCTTTATGTTATTTATGTTGTTCATATTCAATTTTCATTAACAAAGAATAAGAAATTTAATTCATTATGCATTGTTAATTATAAAATGTACATAAACTTATATAATAAATGAATACTAATAACAATATATATAAGTGCGGGTGCGGGTGCGGGGCGGGGATACCTGCCCCCGCACCCGCCCCCATACCCGCGTGGGTTTACAAAATTCCCCTATACCCGCACTCATTACTCATATTGTGCAAGCATTTTAAAACCCGTAGAAGCGGGGATGCGGGGAACCCATTGAGTGCGGGTAGAATTGCCATCCCTAACCTAAAGGCTTTGAAGGATGTAATTCTGTTTTCTTGTGTTTTTAGAATTTGATGACAAGGGAAAGAAGAGAATGATGGGGTAAGGAGGTTTTTTTTTGGATTATTGTTTAATTGAAAAGGAAAGAGGACGTGAGAGACGATGCCTACTTGGACTCAACTGGCGACGACGAAGAATTTGTCTCCGGTTTTCCCTCTTCTTTTTTTTAAAATAAAAATTAATTTGGTAACCCCATGTCATCTAATCACCCGGTCAACAGGTCACTTTACGTCTAATTGTATGAATTTGCACAGTTCAAAGGCTTGATTGTAACTTTTTTGAGTTGGATGACCTAATTGTAGTTTGGCGTGTAGTTCGATGGCCTATTTGACCCTTATTCCGTGAATTAATTGCAGTTACTGGGCTGGGAATTAATTCCCGAGATTGTTTGGGCCTTTAAGGCCGAATGGCCCATGGTGGAATTAAAACCAGATGGGCTGGATCTGATTTGGCCGAGTGGGCCTCTATGGGTGTTGAGCCTTTGGGCTGGTTTTTTGCAGAATTTCTAGCCCATAAGGCCTTGCCTTGTGGCCTTTTATGCTAGCCTTACTTGGGTCTTGTGTATTTAGCCTTTTTTAGCCCTTGTCATTTTAGTAACTTTGAAATTGAAAAAATGTACAAATCTATGGGGCTTCTTAAAACTAGCTTCAATAGCCTATGCAGAGATTGCGGATGTGTAGAGGAGAGAGGGAGAGACTGAATTGTGGATGTGAAAGATCAGAGAGGTGCTAAGCTACACTATTTATAGAGTAGCCAAGCACATGAGGCTCAGCAATTTAACAAATAGTGTATGGAAATAATTAGCCAAAATTATTTGTAGTAAATTCAATGGGAAGAAGGGCATTTATTGCATTATTAGCTACCACTAAGTAGATATCATCATAGTTTCAAGCTTTGATTTTATTTTTTTTTTTTTGTTTTTTAAATCAATATCACTATATATGATTATAAAGACAGTTGATTAACTTTAGTTAATTAGTTATACAATTATATTAAGAAATACAATGATGCTATCTCTAAATTAATTTAGAGTACACAACAATTATAGGAAAGAACAGAGTGCATTTGTTTTCCATAGCATTAGTTAGTAGGCAATATGGTCACACCATGTTCTAAAGAAATTATTGGAGGAAGTTTGGTAAATTGAGTTGGAAGAAATGCTTTTAATTGACATAGTATTAATAGGCCAGAAGGCCACGTGCTCTTAAGAGTTTAGAAGAATGACAGAATGAAGATGTTAGTAATGAATTTAATGTTACAGCAGACATTTCGTCATGATACTCCTCTGCTATGATCTATATTTTTCGGGTTGGGTAAACATTTAATGCTAAAGCAAATCAAAGACAGAGTTCTATATTTTTGGGGTTAGGTAAACATTTAATGCTAAGGCATTGGCATTCTTGCGTCATGATCCTCCTCCTCTTTCAATTCCGGATTCAAACTCGTAATCTTATGGTTACAAGTTTGTATCCTTAGCTATTTTGACTGGAGTTACCATGACAAAGCTCATATTATATATATATATATATATATATATATATATATATATATATATATAGACTAATAATTAATAGGACTATATGGTTTTTTTTTAATGAATAAATAAATTTCTTATATGTCAAGCGGTTAGAAAAACATAAGTATTTCTATTTTTTATTTTGAAACCATATTAAGGGATTTTCTATGAGGTCGAATGCATATGATACAATAAGGTTATACCAAACTTGGTTGTATCAAATACTAGTAACGGTAGTGTCAATAGTACTTACTACTTAGTGTCATCAAAATTATTATATATGATACTATCAACACTAAACTAATAAAAACTCATAATAAAACATATTTTTTAAAAATGTTAAGAGTATGTATTTTAAATTGGAAAATTGTAACAAATGCCCCTCTATAATATGTCAATTATCAATGTCACCCCTGAATTATGAGTGGTGTAAATGTTGCCCCTCAATTATTAAAACGGTGCATATACCCCTCCCGTAACGGACATGTGGTTCCCTGTTAGTGAACGACACCGTTAAGTCGAAGTAAATATGTAATTTAGTTGTTTTTTCCCTCCCTTGATTCGAAGTACCAGCGATGGACAGCGGTGGGAAACCACAGATCCGTTACGGGAGGGGCTATATGTGCACCATTTTGATAATTGAGGGGCAACATTTGCACCACTCATAATTCAGGGGTGACATTGATAATTGACATATTATAGAGGGGCATTTTTTACAATTTTCTCATTTTAAATTGAAAAAAGCAACAGTATGTTTGTATATTGTGCTTTAATTAATTAGTGTTACTTATTTTTTTTTTATTTTTTTTTTGGTATACATGAAATTTAGTCATTTATGCCTTAATACTCCAATTAACAATTGTTATATCTTTTTGATGGTTTAACGTTTAACTATTATGATTAATTAATAATAGTAGAATGCATTTCACTAAAT